AGGACCTGACTGTCCTAGAGGACCTGTCTCTGTCCCAAAGGACCTGTCTCTGTCCCAAAGGACCTGTCTCTGTCCCAGAGGACCTGACTGTCCTAGAGGACCTGTCTCTGTCCCAAAGGACCTGTCTCTGTCCCAGAGGACCTGTCTCTGTCCTAGAGGACCTGTCTCTGTCCCAGAGGACCTGTCTCTGTCCCAAAGGACCTGTCTCTGTCCCAGAGGACCTGACTGTCCTAGAGGACCTGTCTCTGTCCCAAAGGACCTGTCTCTGTCCCAGAGGACCTGTCTCTGTCCCAAAGGACCTGTCTCTGTCCCAGAGGACCTGTCTCTGTCCCAGAGGACCTGTCTCTGTCCTAGAGGACCGGTTTCCTAAGAGGAACCTGCAACCTGAAGCAGGAGCAGGTGAAGCAGGTGAAGCAGGTGAAGCAGGTGAAGGAGCACCTGGATCAGTACCTGCCCTGAAACGGCGTCTCTGCTGGATGGAAACCCTTCTCCTGTGACGGTGACGTCATCAGCCGCTCCTCCCAGAGAAGCTGGAAGTCTGGCAGTAAACAGAGGAACAGCGCCCCCTGCAGACAGAACTGAACCCACACGGCTGTAGAAAAGTATCCCATCCCTTCAGATTCCATGTTCTGATATTTCTCTGCTTTGAGATTTTTCTTAATGAAAAGTGCGGTACAAACTGGATTTATTATTATTATTATTATTATTAACTCAGGATTCATTTGATCCTCTGAAACATTTTTAGGGACGTTTCTAAAACCAGCTGACAGTGAAAGTTCTACCGGCTGGATCAGTCAGATCTATCTCTGAGGACCTAAAATAAATCTGAACCTTTTTTCTTAATAGAAATGCCCCAGCTTCCTAACTCCACAACCGTTGTCAGGGCAACCACGATGTTCTACATGGCATGAAGCAGGACCCGAGCGGATCTGGTACCTACAGCGGTTCTCTGGACCTCCGTCCTGCAGAACCGAGGCTGAAATCCTGGACGTTCTTCCAGGATCCGTCCCACAGAGACCCTCTGCTCCAGGCAGGTCTGCTGGAGGAGTTTCCTGTTCTCTCCATGTGTGGATAAAGGTTCCACCTGTGCTTCTCCACAGACCCGACCTTACCTGGACCCGACCTGCTGTTCTGTGCCTCCTTCATGCTGTGGGACGGGTTCTGTTGAAGTGATAACCTGGATTCTTTGGGTCCGACTCCAATAAACAAAAGAAGGTTTCATTTGAAAGCAGTTCTTCCTCCTCTTCCTCAGTCCGCTCTGCTTACGGACCGGAACCAGAACTCTGTGGTTCTGGAGGTGAAGCCAAGCTCAGGGTCTCAGGCTAATGGAGAGCGACCCCTGCTGGCCGGAATAGAAACCACTCCAATCAAATCAAAACCGTTTAGTTGAAGATCGGTTTTATTCTAAAACTTCCTGAAGCTGAAAGGAATCACAGCACAGACATCCCATAATCCCCCATAATCCCCCATAATCCCCCATAATCCCCCTGAAGGGTCCGGTCTGACCGCTGAGGAGCAGCTCCCAACACAGCCGCTGGGATTCAGAACGCGCTCGCTGGGACTCCATTTCCCAAGATGCACTGCTCCAAGCAGCACGGTCTCTTCTGAGGACAGAAATGTTCCTACAGATGGAGCCCCGGTCTGGGACCTGATGACGCCTCGCCTCCTCCTCCTCCGCCGCCTCCAGTGGGAGTTCCTCCTCCTCCTCCTCCGCCGCCTCCTCCTCCTCCTCCTCCTCCTCAGAGATCATTTCTGCAGCTCCAGCGGCGTGCTGAACGTCTCGTACACGTTGGCTGCAAACTCCTTCACCTGGTCGTTCAGCAGAAGTTCCTACAGGGAGCAGAAGAAGAAGGAGCACCTTTCAGGAGAGGAGGAGGACAGGGGAGGGGGACAGGGGAGGGGGACAGGGGAGGGGGACAGGGGAGGAGCCCCGCGAGGCCAGAAGGAGGTTTGAAGGAGCGGAGGCGGACGCTACCTGAACCAGGAGGCTGGGAGTCTCACTGCAGACGGTGTTTATCTGGCCGTTGATGATGGGGATGATCTTAGCCAGCGGCAGACTGACGGCGGACAGGCTGGGGAGACATGATGACATCATCAGCACAGACACACCCCTTCAATCCTGCCTAGCAACAAACTCCTTCAGCTCTCAGAGGGAAGATGGAGACGCTCAGAGGGAACGCTGCAATGATCTGATGAGGAGGAGGAGGAGCTCTAAAACCTCCAGACCAGACTTTGACCTGTCTGACCTGAAGGAGGCGGAGCCAGGGTGCGTGTCAGTGGGAGACGTTACCTGTCCGGCCCAGAGGAGGCGGGGCGGTCCGCCGCAGGCAGGCGGAAGAACTCAGCCAGGTTGTCCAGGAGGCGGGAGAACGCCCGGTTCAGACACGTGCTCAGAACTTTGCTGAAATCTGGACTGAAGACAGAAACAAAGCTTAGACCTGCTGGACTCAGAGGACACGCAGCAGTGGGACGCCCCTACCTGTCCAACATGTCTCTGGTCTCATTCAACAGTCTGATGGTCACCACGTCTTCTTCCGTCAGGCCGCACGCCTGCAGAGGACAGAAACAGGCAGAGTTAGGAGCCCAGGAGGACGTCCCACCGCAAGCCGGCGAGCGGCGTCCTCAGCCTGCAGCCACCTGGTCAGCCAGAGCGTCCTCAGCGTCCGCCAGCATGTAGGAGGACAGCGGACGGCCCGAGTCCACCTCCACCTCTGCTCGGATCCAGCTCAGCTGCTGCTCCAGCTCCAGCAGGGACAGACTCTGCTTCAGAGGCACCCTGGACAAGGACGGACAAGGACAGGACGGGAAAGGATGGGACAAGGACGGACAAGGACAGGACGGGAAAGGATGGGACAAGGACGGACAAGGACAGGACGGGAAAGGATGGGACAACAACAGGACAAAGAAAGGACAAAGAAAGGATGGGACAAGGAAAGGACAGGACATAATGTTCTCAGAGGACAGCAGGTTTTCTCCAGGTGAACTGAATGAGGACAGGTTGAGGTTTACCCCCCCAGGGAGTTCTGGACGGCCGCCTTCACCCTCCTGATCAGCTCCGTCAGACCTGCAGAGACACATGGAGACAGACGTCTGTGAGGACAGCGACCAGCAGGAAGTGGACTGAGGTCCTGGTGAAGCTCTCACCGTCTCCTAGAAGATACTGGATGCTGGACAGGTACTGCTGCTGGACGCCTGGAGGGGTCAGCAGAGTCTGGGGACAAACAAGGACACGTCTGTCCAGGTTCTACTGAACTGAAGACTCCTTTCCTAGACTCAACTCTGGAAGGAAGGAAGGAAGGAAGGAAGGAAGGA